TTGTGCCATTTTGGAACGTTTTCTTAGCCTATTGATCTTGGCAGGCACAAGTCATTATGTCATTATGTATCTTCTCAATCAATGGGTATTAAAATTACAACTATTATGGAAGGTTCCTGGAAGTATCTTAATGTAAAAAAAAGTTGAACAGAGACTGGGAACAGCTATTCTAATACATCTGTGACCCATTCATCTAGATTTTTTTTTTAAGTCCAGAGTCCCTAGATCACATTACCTCTATTGCCCCGTCACAATATTACCTTCAATGAGTTATGATTTATGTTATATTATGGCCCCTAGTAATACAGAAAATCAAAATATGGTCTATTTTAAATGCCAGTTCTGTATCTTTCAATAAACTGTGGCCAAAAGCGTTACTGTCTGTCATTCTGTGTTCTGAATATAAGGATTCTCATGATTCTCAAGGATTCTTATGTTTTGGTTGAATTTAGTTTCAGGAACTATTCAGTTTCTTAGATAGCTAAATCCTTCTGTCATAATGAAATCATGAAACAATATAGATCTCTATGTTTAAATTTGCAGTTAGAAAATTAAGAACCAAATTTAGTGATCAAGTAACTTTCTAAGAAGAAAGGTATTCCTTCTACTTCTTTCAGATACTTATTTTTTCTTACCTAAATGTACTTTTGTACTGGGATAATCTAATAGCCACTTCAAGTATTTCTGAAGTAGATTATATTTAACTCTTAAAGAGAGAGATGAATATGTGACATGCTGTTTCCCTACTGGACACAAAAACCTAGAAGGCACCAAAAAAAAACCATCACATAAGCACACTATTAATTTAAAAGATAACAGAGTTTTAAAGTATCTAGGGCGTCCACTTAATCTACTATGACTTAAAGGAAGTTCCTGAATTTTTTTTTAATCTGTGTCGATCCTCAATGTACTAATCGGCAAATGTGATAATTCCACATCTCCCTGATTGGATAGTAAGAATTAATACATCCAAAGTTCACAGCAGAGTGCCTGGCATATGTTAGTTGTTATTATGATGATGATGATTACATATTAAGTTATAAAATATTTCTATCAATTATCTAATCAATAGTCCTGTTATGAGTGGAAGCGTGTCCCACAAAAAATTCATATGTTGAATTCCTAACACCAAGAACCTCAGAATGTGACCTTATTTGGAAGTAGCTGCATATGTATTTAGTTAACATGATATCATTAGGTTGGGACCTAATCCATTACGACTGGTATCTTAACAAAGGAGGGAGATTTGGACACAGAGAAGGCACTCTGGGAGGACTCCATGTGACGATGAGGGCAGGGACCAGGGTGATGCTTCTACTAGCCAACAAGACCCTCCAAAAGGAACAGCCACGGTACAGCCAAGACTAGCAGCCAAGCACCAGAAGCCGGAGGGAGTCCGGGCGGCTCCCTCGCAGCTCTCGTAAGGAGCTGATCTGCTAACACTGGTTCTCGGACTTTGAGCCACTGAGACAGAAGAGGATAAATTCCTATTGCTCAAGCCACCTAGTGAGTGGTATTTTGTATGGCAGCCCTAGAAAGAAATTATCACCCCTAACTCTATACGATGATTATTTCAGATGAGAAAACTGAAGTTCAGAAAGATGAAGTTAACATGTCCAAGATTACAGAGCTACAAATGATAGTTTGGGATCCAAACCCTGGTGATCTTACTCCAACATCAGAGATTCTTAATATCACAGCTGAAAAATCCAAAAAACTCAAAGTGTATATACTCTTCATAAATACTTTCACGTACCTTTTAATGGTTATGGAGCTATAAAAATAGCATAGTGAAATATAATATTCAATATCTTTTAATAACCTTTAATGAAAAAGGATATAAAACCAAATACATACATATATGTGCATGACTGGGACATTGTGCTGTACCCCAGAAACTGACACATTGTAACTGACTATACTTCAATAAAAAAATAAATGGAATAAATTACATTCTCAAAATCTAAAAAAATCTAAAAAAAAAATAGTCTCTTAACAGTTGACTGCTTTCAGTCAAGAAAAAGATTCACAGATTTCTACATTTTCCAATGAGACATTTATGGAAAATTAATCAATATTTTATGCATACTAATATAACAAGTAAATACAAAAGAACTGAAAAAGCTCAACAGGGAAGGTATACAGAAGATTTTTAGTATAATTGCAGTAAAATACTTTCATAGTTACATTTTTGATATTACAGAAAGTGATAAATCCATGAACAAACCAATAAGAACCAGATAACAGTAGGAAAATAAAATAAAGCCAGGCAAGCTATAAATATGTTGAGATTTCTAGCAGACAGGGCAAACAGGTAAACATTCTCAGCCACAGGGTTCATAAATCCCGTGACATAAAAACAAGTCAGTGCTTAAACATAAATTTATCTACTTCTGACACCTGAGAAAATTCATTAACTCATTTCCAAGATTATCTACGAGTTACGCCTACAGATTATAGACAAGCTCTCCAATAACATGGCTCCTATGTAGATCCTCAAAACAAACCAACAGCGTGCTGTCAACACTCACAGATGAACACAAGTTTACGAGGCACCAACACAGAAAGGAGTCAAATGAATAGCTCTCAGATTGTCAAGAATAAATTTTAAAAGAAAGCTGCTATGATATACCCCAATCCCAAGACAAACTGATCACTCTGAATCAAAGACCAGGGAAGTTTGATAACCTCTTATGAAAATAAAACTACTGGAAGGACCAAGTTCTTCTTCGTCAACTAGTTTGGCGTCTATTCTAACACCCACTAAAATGGGTAAACAAGACCCCAAAGTTTGATCTTAGATCTTGGTAACTGTCTTTCTTCACCCCTGAGGCCATAGGAATGAAAAAAAAAATTAAGAGAATATTTATTTCTAAGCAAGTTGCTTCCTGGTATCTTCTAAATATCATTTAAATATCTAAGGCCTGCTGACAAATGGTTTTATTTTTTACCTTAATCTCAAACTATCTACTCCTTCACAAACTGAATAAATTTGGGGACTATTCTATCAGAGCTGCTAGTATAAAGAAACGTATTTCTATTCTCAAATGCTGCATGGGTGATGCATTCATCCACCTCATACAGACGGTCTCTGTACTTTTGGGTACAAAGTTAAAATAACAAATACTATAATACATAGGGGTAGGAGAGAAAAAGGTATAAACTATCAGGTATAAAATATGCTACAAGGATCTATTATACAACATGAGGAATAAAGCAAATATTTCATAATAACTATAAATGGAGTATAACCTTTAAAAATTATGAATCACTATATTGCACACCTGTGACTTACATAATATTGTACAGCAACCATACTTCAGTTAAAAAAAGAAAAAAGGTGGCTGAAGGCATGCCCCTACTTAAAAGGAGTGTCTTATTTAGTCTTTCAGTGTTTGTGCCTATTCCTTTCAACATGACTTAACTCCTCACTTAGAAACTCTGAATCTCAAAAATTAAAATGTAACCTACCTTGTTCTCTGTTTTTGCTCTTGCCACTTCTGAGCACCAACTCCTTCCTTCCACCCTACTCCCCATTTTGAAGTAGACTTACCTCCCGTCTGAGTGATGACTTGTATGTCACTTGAAAGAGGACCATCTCCAATTGAGGTAAAAGCCAGGACTTTGACAGAATACGTTTTCTGGGGCACTAAGTTGCCAATGGTAGTGATTTGGCTGTCAGCTACATTGTGTTTCATCCAGTTGTTGACATGCTGAGTGGGATCCATCGTATAATAAACTCTGTATCCTTGAATCTGTCCATTTGGCTCTTCAGGTTCCTTCCACTGTACCAAAATCGTGGTTGAACTCAACATCCGCGCCTGGACATCCCGTGGGGCGCTGGATGGTGCCTGCTCTGAGGTCTGCGTTAGCACAGGTTCACTGGGAGGCCCCCGCCCGATGTTATTGACAGCAAGAACCCTGAATTCGTAATCTGAGTAGGGACTGAGTCCAGCGACACTGTAGCGTGTGGTTGCCACCCCATCAATTTCTTTGTAAGGTTCCTCAGAATTTTTAGGTTTATGCTGGATGATGTAGTAAGAGACAGGCTCAGGGTTCCCAGAGTCCCACGTCAGGGTGATGCTCGTAGCTGTGCTCTCAGTCACTACAGGAGTTCCTGGAGGCTTGGGTAAGGCTTGCAGGGAGAAAAAAGACAGAGAGTACCCATTATCTTTAAGATGTTTTAAGAATCCATAAACTTACTATTACAATGACAGAATTACATGCCTCGTGAAGACTTAATGACATATAGCAAAGGACAGTTTTCTAAGTGGCCAGGAAGCACAGAAAGACATGCACAGATGACAAGTCCCAGTTTACTAGCAGTGTACGATATAGCACTGTGTTCTGGGGCCTGTATCCAAATTCACCACTTATTAGCTCTGAGATCCTGGACACGTTGCTTAACTTCTCTTTGCTTCAGTTTTCCCATGTGAAAAATGGGAAAAAAATTGTTATTATTGGATTGTACAGTCGGGTAACTTTTTCACGAGTTTGCTGTGAAGATTATTGAGCTAATCCAGTAATGCTCTTAGAATGTATCTGGCACCCTCAAAAAACAGTAATTACAGTAAGTACAATGATTACAACCAAAAGCTTGGCCAATTAGACCCCTGCTTCAAAAAAGTGATATAACTAAATCTCTGTAAACATTGAAAAGAACAAAATTTGAAATATAATGAAATGGTATTAACTGGATGTCAAAGAAGAGTTATCCATATCGTTTTCCAGATTTAAGTCAGAGACAACATTGCTATAACTTCTTTATAAATAATCCAGCCAAGAATTTTAGGGTCACAAAGAATAATTAATCAAATTCCAATTCATGTTTTTGCTTAATATTCAAAGTATGCTGAAGGAACTAAATTAAAGCATATTCACAAATCACTTTTTAAAGTATCTTACTGTCATAACGCATATTCTATATCCAACATCAGTCATATAAGATTGCAGCTACATGACAAACATTGTCCTTCAGAGATCTCGATCTTCCCTTTCAGCAGAAGAGCACAACTCAAAATGCTCCTAATAAAGAACACAAACCATCTACATTGGTGGCCTCATATTAAAGTACCTCGCTGGACAACGATTCTGAAAGGTAGTGGTGTTAGGGAAACAAGGAGAATTTCATCAGCTGACTTTTTAGAGAAATCTCGGAAGGTAACACTCATATTATCACCTCTTTAGGACTTCTCTTTCCTTGTCAACTTCAAGGCAAAAAATACCACATTCGCTACAGTGACAACTTTTCAAGAGCAGCAAGTTTGGACTTAACAACTCCTACATCCCCCATCCCTAGAGCGCTGTCTGGCACTGAGCAGGTTTTTAATAAGCATGTGGAGTGACTGACTAAGTGAGTCCACCCCCATTCTCCTCATTCTCTTCAAGGTGCTTTCTGTTTCAATTCATCCTTGCCTTCCAGAATCACCCTTACGTCTTATTTATTTTTGACGTGGAGGGGGTAGAGAAGCAGCACGAGTCAGGAAAACAAAGAAAAGAAACTGAAGAAGATACTAGTTTAATGTGACTCGTGCTTTTGAATTCCTGAAGGTCTTTAGTAAACTGTCAAATATTTAAAGCTGAGATAGTTAGTATGGGAAAGGCAATTCAATATTTGCCTGTTACTCTAAGAACCATGGAATGATAATATTTGGCCAAGGGATTTACTGAAAATAATCATAAAAAGACATTTGTTTAAATATTCTGGCATAGCATTTTTCAAGCAAGTGAATGATTTCAATTTTCACTGATGTCTTTCTGAATTTTTAAGGCAAGTAAAAATAGTGCTAATGAAAGGTGTGTTTACTGATATTTCACGGATACTCTAAGTTTTACTAAGTGACAGTGATGATATAGTGCAGGTTTTGTCTGCAGTGCATGAAGAATGGTATGCTAATACAGTAAGGATATGCAATAAAACATTACTATTTTATATAACTAAAGTTTGACAGTGGTGTTTACCTTGTTCATATGTCACATCATTGACTTCATATGGTATACATTAGCTAAATCTGCTTGGTTGAAGATGTAACACTGACTATTATATGTATTTTTTTTTTTTTTAGGACCACACTTCCTAGAAGGGGAAGATACTTTGTGTTCATTTTGCAACAGTTCTAGACATTTGCAGGAACCTAAAGTCACCCTCAGACTGACCCATTTTGTAAATGTTTTTTAAAATTCTAAAACACTGGATAAAAACAACTGGTAACTGCACACACTCTGTTTTCTCCCCTGTGAGTCAAAGCCATGGAATATAGTACTTCGGTTGTATTCGGTACACTTATTTCTAGAAAATATTATTTGTTAAGCACTTCATCTATGCGAGGTGAGAGATAAAGCTAAAACAATAGAATCATACTTGCATTTTGATTTTTAATGGTAGGCGCTAATAAAAATTTCAAATATCTATTATTAGACCATGTTAATTTCAACCCTTTCTCTTTTTGTGTTCTTGGATTTTGTACATTTATTAACATTTATCTGGACTTCTGTTATGTGCCTCTTCTCAAGGTTCTAGATTGATATAAAACCGTGCACATCAGCCCAACCATAACGCTTGACCTTGTCTAGCACTGCTCATCCTGCCCTGTTAGTGCCTGGGCCCAGCCTGTTCAATATTTTGATAATCATCCCTACTTAGGCTGTGAATACTTTTAAGAGAGAATCTGCCTACCTACATCTGTGTATCTTACATGATACCACAGATAAAATTAGACTATGACATCTGAAACACTGAACAATGAATTGATTCACTGTAGAATTCCAAGGACTTTGTAGAGACATTATTAGTCAGTTGACTCGAGTATCCTCAGATCTTGCAAGCATGAACCACTGAGCATACCTTTGACAGTGATCTGTGCTATTGCTTCAATGACACCCAGTGTCGACATAGCCACACAGGTGTAATTTGCTGACTGTCTTACATCATTCAGTTCTAGGACGTTTCTTCCTATCGGCATGTCATCTTCAGGTGTCAGATCTTCTGCCCCCAACATCCACTTCACATAAGGCATTGGTGACCCCACAGCCACACAGGTGATATTAACACTTCCACCTGGCATGATTTCATGATTAGTGGGTGGGATAGAGAATCTTGGAGGGACACGGCGAACTGGAACAAAACACAAGGGAAGATGATAAAATATACAAGGCAAGAGAAAGTGGCTTGATTAAACACGTGACATGCACTGTACAGACACAATTAAACTATTGAAACACATTGTGGATTGTCCAAAAATAAAACATGAAAAACTGTGGATAATACAGACCATACAAGTATGGTGTGTGTATACACAGAAAATTTTATTTAGCTTTGTCATTGATATCTCAGACACATTCATACAAAAGTTGATTTAGACCTACAAGGGTCCCACAAAAAACTATCTACAAACTAACAATACACAAACATCATGCAGAAGATAAACACAGAAACATACACATGCATGCATATAACAAGGGTTCTATGAATGCATGTATATGCAGGAGGGGGGCTGGAAGGCAACTAGCAGGTTTATGTTCAGAATCAAAACCAGCTTCATTGCTGTGCTCTTCCAGGTGATGTGAAAACACGTGTGGGACCACGCTGTCACACCCAGCCCTGGAAAACATCATCTAGAGTACACTGAAAGTGCAATGCATTTGCTTTCAGACTCAGAGTAGGGTACAGCCTCAAGACCTCACATTAACACTGAGACAAACACAGAAATATATATACATATCGATTTACAGTCAAGAAGAAGAAATAAAGCCAATGCCAGTAGAGATACTGGATTGGATCATGCAAGGCATGCACATGGTGTCTCAAGGCCATGCTGATTAGGACAATGGGAGAATGGCTAGAATCCAAGACAGCAATGACAACAGAGGAAATAACTGGAATAGAACTAAATACAGAGGGAGGAGGGCTAAGTACAGAGACTGAGACAGGGATTTAGGGAGAATAGGGTTGAAAGTAGAAAGATATTAGGCGAAGCTAGGTTGTCAAAGGTAAGGACTGCAAAATCAGGAAGGGGGCTGGGGAGTTCACATTCAGGATTCCATTCCGTTCATGTCTAAGGTAAAACAACATAGATGATGACAACAGAAATCTAGGAAAAGGCTTTTTATGCCTTCATTCAAATTACGAGACACAGGATCTAAACCATACAGTGGACATGACATTAAGAGAAGAGGTCATATTAAAGCAACACAACACAGAAAATTACCAAGCAATTACAGTTCAGTGTTCCTGCTTCAGATAATCTGCATGTTTATGTGTGTTTAAGTACATGTGTCTTGGACATGGTACAAGGAGAGGGTAAGAGACAAATAGGTTTCATCTTGGGCTTTTACTGGCAAAATGTTACACCAAGAGCATTTCAGATCAAGAGGTAATCATTAGAAGCATACCTTAAATATGGATAATAAACTGTTACTTAAAATAATTAAGTTAATAAACAAACAACCTCAAAACTCCAAGATAATGAGAGAATAATTCTGTCAACTTTTTGGCTGTACTTAACGGTGAGAAAAACCTCCGTAGATTTGAGAGGGCTTGCTGCGATGGCCTCACGGGTGAATGACAGGCAGAGAAGTAAAGAGAAAGCTAAGCATGCCTCCTGCAGCCAATTCACAGGTTACACAAAGCAAACAGGAGCCGGTGTCAAAGAGCAAATCAAGAAAAATGGAGGAGAGCTTAGTCTTCATGCTTGGGATTAGGGGAACAACTACAAAAAGTCATTCTACGGGCAGCAGGCATCTTTTTAAGACAGAAGTTAAAGGTGGGGCAAGAGACGGGAAGAGTGGAGCAAAAAGGAAAGCAGGAACACTGACCGAGTTCACTGGACCTGAGAGAGTTACGTGTTACCCCATTACCATGCACCCAGGTACATCCTCTCCCATCATGCACCGCAGTTAGGTACCACCAGCAAGCACCAGAAGCCACAGCCAAGGGCATTCTCTGCTAGAACATACCATTAACCAAAAGAAGACCACAATGCAGCTACATTCATTTCATTTGTATTCTTTGTTATTGGTTTAATTAATAGTTTTGTAAGGTGGGTAAAAAGTAAAAAACACACCAACCTTCTCGCAGCTCTGAGGGATGTAGGGGGTTTGATGCAGAACACAATGAAATGAGGAAAGGAGAAAAACAAGGGAAACACAGAGAGAGTAAAAAGGCCATATCAAGGCTTTCAACTGCTACTTGAACATCTTTATTTGCTCTAGTTAATCCTTCCTACCTCTGCTGAAAAAGTTAGCAATACCTTATGGACTAACACAGTATTAGAAACAATAGCTAGCATCATTTTGAAATTTTTCCACTGAAGAAGGTACACATGCCTCATGCAGCAAAGGAGGTCGTCACTGTGAAAAGAAGGATCAAGGGGCTTCCAAAGAATTTGGAGAAGAAATGGTTTTCTTCATATTCTCCCACCCCGGACTCCAGAGAAAGACAGGAGAGAAAAACATCCCCATGGAAACAGAATTATCTCAAACAAAAATTTCAAAATCAAGCTAGATATTTTCCTAAGGGAACCCATCCTATTGTGACTTTAAGCCCTGGCAGTCTTTTTATCTACTCCCACCCCCACCCACACCATTTGTGGTAGTTCACAGACATGGAGACCAAGAGTAAGAGCATTGTCACTGGACACAAAACTACAGGAAGCAGCTCTGAAAATTCCTGGGAAGAAGAATTATTTCTTTCTAGTGGAAATGAAAGGCCCAGTCATTCATAAGCTCAAAATGTAATCAGTTCTATTACTTTATGAGGAAACAGGGATGTCTCCTCATTCATCTTTGTCCCAAGGACAACTAATATGTTTTAAAATGCAATCACTGTTCCCTGACAATCAAGAGATTAAACTTTTCAGAAATTGAACAACTGAAAAAACACACATGTGTGTTTATATATATGCTCATACATAATACTATGTGTCATAAATAACTAAGGATAAAAAAAGAAGGAAGAAAATACAATTCTGCTATTTGCATGTAGCTTTTTTTTTTAGTTAGTAGCTTATCCTTA